AAAATGTCTTTTAAATCATGTTGTAAAACAAGTTGGAACAACTTCATTTTTGGACTAATCAACTTAAAAACTTGTATCCCGAATGAGGGTAATTAAGTACATACAACTTAAAATTCATTTTAAATCATGTGGTAAAACTAGTCGGAACAATTTAATCTTTTGAGTAATCAACTTCAAAACTTGTGTTTATGCTACCAATTATTAAGTAAGTGGGAATTAAAAACACCTCTGATTGTAGAGGAAAAGCCTTCTCCCCTAACTCAAATAACTTTGTTGGTTTTAGACAATTTCATTAGAAGTTGTCTTAACTCAATAAACATCGATGTAAACTGTTGAGTTGATTTTCTTTGTTGAGCCAAGGCATTTGTTTTTAGAGTGTACATGCTATCGATGATTTACGTACAAAACACTATGTTTGTATTTATTTCATTTTATTGCTGGGCAAATGTATTTGTGCATGGCTTCTCTGTGGCCGTATAGTGGTTACATTCGAATTTCTAATTTCCTATTTTGTGTTGTGATTATAGTAGTCTTGCCTGTTGGTTGTATTGTGACTTGATTTGGTTGTGTCAATTTGCTTGTTTGTTATATATTTTAGTTTTTTACTGTCTTGCTGTTTGTACCATATGTTAGGACCCTCTTGAAAACGAGATGTTTCATCTCAAGGGGTTATCCTGAATAAATCCATTTCAGTAAAGAAGGAATTGTGCCATGCATGAAGTGAGGCAGACAGTGAAGAATGGTTATCAATGATAAAATGTAATGCCATGATTAAAAGAACTAAAGGACGTCCTCTCATTTGGAGCTGAGCTTTGGGATGTCCGTTTCTCTCCGTTTTTTGGCTGAAGTGTTGTCACCTGCTGCTTTTTGAATCAACGTCCAACACATGTTGACCTTCATCCAGGTTCTCTGGCGGTTATACAGACTGACAGCCCCACACTGTGCATATAAACCAAGCTCCCCCCCACCCTCTCTACTCCAGTCAACAGCAGCTCAGCTCATGGAGCTGGGTGCTACTTCCACATACAAGCCAGCCAAGAAAGGAAATGCAGATGAGACTGCAGCCATTCACAGAGCCGCTGCAGTGCAGGAGTCACAGAACACAGATCTCCTATTGCTCTCCATCTTTTTATCTTTTTCCCTACTTTTCCCCAAGTCATTACGAGGTTCAGATAAACAATATACAGAAATTATTTCTGTGTAAAGGTCAATTTCACTGATGGATCCTCTGTGTGTGTTTTGGGTTTGCAAATAATTTTGATTTGAACCGTTTTTAACTTTGGTGAGTGGGTTCTAGTCGTGTGTGTTTTTTGTTTCTTTTATTTTGTAGCAGACTTTGCTACTTGGACAAACTGATCAGGTCAATTATGTGTATACTAGGGATGTAACGATACCAAAACTCACGGTACGATAATATCGCAATAAAAAGTCCATGGTACGGTATTTATCGCAATATTGAAAAATAAAAAACGTTTATTTTGAAATGTATTTAGTTATCTGATTTGTACAGCATTTTAGTAGGATAGTAGTATTTTAAAGTGTCAAAAACAAAGTGACAGTAACAGACTGGAACAAGAACAACCAGTGTTTTTTTACCTAGTACTACCAAACAAAGTAGGCATTTTCTTTGTGCCACTGCATCTCACAAATAAATAAGGACATTTAATAATCAGACCCTGCAATAAAATAAATCAAGTTTCACTTTAGTTTGTCAAGTAACTCAACTCAAACCAGGGCCGAACTGGGACAATAAGTCAGGCCGGGAATTATACACCCAGCAAGGCCACTACCAGTTTTTGTGCCATTTTTCTGGATTTATTTGTCAATATTCACAGCGTTGCTTTTTTTTAAATGTTGGACTTAAATGCATCAATCTGGTGCACTTTGAGGGGGAACTAAAGAGACTACACCCATATGAAACAGAACTGTATACATTTAAATAATCATAAAATCATAAGAACATGGCCATAACCAATAACATACCATATTATCCAATATTAAAAAAACATTGAAACTTGTTTATTTATTTATTTTTGGTTCATTTATAGTTGTGAGTGTGTCTGTGCTCCTGAATCAGCCTCTCCTGTCTCCCCCCTCTCCTCCCTGCTCCTCTTTGAGGCAGCAGCAAAGACTAGTTTTAGCTCTCAACAAGTTTTAAAAGTTTATCTTACCTTTTTTCACCTATTTAACATTTGTTTTATTATTATTCATGGATATTTTATTAATCACTACCCCCTCAAATGGAAATATGTGTTTACATAAATGGTGTCCAAACCGTTTGAGACCCACTGAGAACTTAGACTAAGTTAACTATCTAAACACTCAGAGAGTCCTTAACCTCACCTGAGCTGAGGTTATCAGCCTCTCAGTCTCACCCTGCTCCCTGCCGCTGTGTGCACAATGCTCCGTATTGGACGGGTTAAATGCAGAGACTACATTTCACTATGTGAGTTTTCCATTTAATATCAACCTGTTCTTGTCGTTTTGTCTCATTTGACACAATAGCCTAAATACTTGAAGATAATGGACAATTATTTTCAGCCTTAATTATATTTCAGCTACTTTCTGGAATCTGGCTCTATTTTAGGGTTCAAAAACTGGCAAGAACAGCAGCTAGGTCTGGAAGAAGTGTGTGTATCTGAGTATTCTACGTTCAAGAACAGGGAGGAAGATGCTAACTAATTGTTCCAAATGTGTCAAAAATTAAATCTATCTAAATAAAAGAGATACCTTGTCTGGTACATTTACTCAAGTATTCAACTTAAGTACTAATTTGTCAAACTTGTACTTTACTTGAGTATTTCCATTTTGTGCTTCTTTGTACTTCTCCTCATTTATTCCACTTTTTACTGCTCTACATCTTTGTAGCATGTATTCTACTTTGTACTGCTCTACATTTATTTGACACTACCAGCTACTGTTTCCATATAAAACACATGACATTATTATAGGATATAATGCAGTATGGTACCAACAATAAGTATGTTTAAAATTAACACACTACAACAAGTTAATGCTCTTACATGTAATTGTAAGCAATTAGAAGAAGAAATAACTTCATATTCTAAAATTATATCATTTTCAAAAAGCCATGCTCTATAATGAGTATTACTTTTGATACTTAAATTACATTTAGCTGGCAATACTTATATGCAATATTTTGAATTCAGGAATTTTACTTGTAATTAAGTATTTTCAGACCAAAGTATTTCTACTTTTAGTTAAGTAAAGGAGTATTCTTCCAACGATGGTTATGCCATAATCATATGACGGCTTGTATCTCCAAAGGTTTAGAAGCCTGCAGTGCTTCAGTTATCACAGCTTTATTATCATTTTATTTTGTACTTATATAAAGATGATTCTACTTTAAATGAAATTGTGGGCTGCACTTATGGGCTATGATTGCTGTAGTCGTATTGCACAGTGGCATTAAACTAAAGAGCTTGGTGCAGAGATGAAGCCCCCTGCCATCCCAATCATTATGAAGCAGACTCATCTTCACAGAAGATACTTCATTTCTCCCGTGTGTTTCAATACAAATAAATCTTCTGAAAATACACATTTGCATTGTTGTCTTTTATTGACCATCACAACATTATAATATAAATTATTTACATAGGATCATATAAAAGAGATCTTTAGCTGAGAGGAGAAAACCACTAAATGTTCATTATTCGTTCTTATGAAACCGTAAGGCAGAAGCTCCTCCGAGTTGGATGCAATAAGAGCCAACCCGTATAACACAGCAGAGAAATAAAACACGGACATTCACAGCTCATCGTAAGACCACCATTTGGTTTGGATCTGCATCAAGGAGACCCGGTAAGGCCTACATGTAGCATTCAAAAAAGGTAGTAAAAATAAGTTATGCAAACACTCCAGCACCGTGAACGCGACTGTAGAGGTTCACTGTATTATAAATAATAATAAAAAGGTCTTTGAACATTCGTAGAGAGGCTTCCTGGCGAAGCTGCAGCGGACAGTCTGTTTAAAGGCTTCAGGCGACAGGCAGAAAAACAAAGGTTCTGGACACATTTTATAAAAAGGGTTTATAGAAAAAGAATATTAACGAATGTATTATCTTAAAGAAAAGCATGTCAATCTCTCAGCACTATAGGCTCAAATCAGACATCAGACTGGGTTCAGTGTGGCTCTTTTTCCAGGTTTTCAGTTTAAACAGACAGCTTCTAAAAAGCAGACCTTTACTTTCAGATAACATTACATTCCTCAACATTGCATGGCGGCATCTAACACACACACACACACACACACACACACACACACACACACACACACACACACACACACACACACACACACCACACAGTCTCTGGTTGAGTTTAAATATGAATGCTGGTACTGGAGTGATTTTATTGCATGGTCCGGACCCCCGTCCTCGGGTCTCTTCTAGTCGCTGTCCGACTTGTCCTCCTTGGCCCCGGCGTGGTTGTACAGTCCCTGCGCCATGAGGTGCAGCGCCAGAGCGTTTGTATTCCCGGTGGCTTTCTTGATTTTGGCTCGTTTGTTCTGGAACCAGATCTTGATCTGGGACTCGTTGAGGCCCAGCTCCTCGGCCAGGGCCTGCCGCCGCTGCTCCGTCAGGTACCGGTTCCCCTGGAACTCCGTCTTCAGCCGCTGCAGCTGCTCCGCCGTGAAGGCCGTGCGGGGCCGCTTGTCCTCCGGGCTGGGGGTCAGGGCCTTCTTTGGTTTGCGGGATCTGGGCCCTTGAGGTGTAAAGTTCAGTTAATATTTCTCACATTTAAAAATCACAGGTGTTTTATTAAAGTGTGAGCTTGTCCCGTGAAAACAGAGTAGGCCTACATGAACGCGTCCCTGCATCACCCTGAGAGAAAGGCTGTCAGCAGGTGGAGAAACATGTTCAGTATTACAAGTCCCTGCTATTTAACGAACTATCAATGTAGGCTGATATATATTACCTTTGTTTGGAACTGAATGGTGACTTTGGGTCATAAGGAACTACACATTTTGGGGGAAATAGCCTACTCGCTTTTGGGTCCGTGAATACTTTAAGTGTAATTTAAATAAATAAAAAATCCACAGACACATTTAATCACAGCTGTAAGGGGGAATATGGTCTGTTATCATGTGGCTCAGGGAGGAGGGAGGACGTGCAGATGGGGGTGGGGTTAGGATGGAGGATGGGGAGTTAGGCGCCTCTTTCTCTCCCTGTTACCATAGGAACTCAATTAAAAAAAAAGTACTTTCCTAAAATTAGCCATAACTCTTTTCGTTACTAATATAATATACTGATATTGCACGATAAAGGCAAAGCGGAAATACAGAGAAGGAACATTCTGCCTGGGCCTCGGTGCGTCAAATAAAGAAGACCAAGGCCTACATCGTTTACCATCCAACAGTTGTAAGAGGTGAAACAACAGGGACACCAATGCATCTTTAATCAATTTATAAAACCTTTCACACTAATTCCCACAGTTATATTTGGTTTAATAGTCCTACCCATGCAGCTCCCTGCCTCTTTGTGGTCACTTCCATATGTCGGGCCTGGACCTCGATGGAACTTTTTTTGAGTTTCCATACAACAACACAAATTATCATTCTCACGGTTTTCGCTTCGTTTTGGGCTTTTTCCTCCCGCCCTCCGACAGATCGCAAAACCCTTTCCTCTGCTGGGTTTCTAGGTTTGAACATTATTAATCAGTAGCGTCTAAATCACGACAAAGGAAAGTTCAAGTGCACCATACGTCCACTCAGAACATAACCCTGCCTGCGACCAGCCATACTGTGTTCATGATAAAACATGATAAAACAGGATAAAACATGATACAACATGGTGTTAAAGCGGTCCGAGCCCCCCCAGCGGCGCAGAGACAGAGGACCCTCACACCGCTTCACTTCGAGGATGTTCATAAAATAGAAACGCTATCAAAAATGACTTGTTTATTTCGTTGGCGGGTTAAAGGGCTTTGAAGTTTCATTCAGCAATTCACATCGAATCTTTTTCATTTGGGACACACGGCCCTCACTTTTTAGACCCCGCCATTGTCAAAAAAAATATGCTAATAGAATATCAACAAAGAAGACTGATGAACAATGGCGTTAAACTTGGTTTTAGTTCCCCTCTCCATATTGTAACTTAACTTTCGACTTGTATTTAACTATAACTTCGTTGTCATGTCGCTTCCTGTAACATTAAGTCGTGTTGTCAACTTGAAGGTGATTTTAAAGCCAACATTCCCATCCGAAACTCCTCCGAAGACTTTCTCATTTGCGTTTAGAGTAGTTTGTTTTATTTTAAATAGGTCTCGGCTCGGTTTTTTTTATTATTGAAATGATTACATAATAAGATGATTATAGTCAGGATGGTGCAATAAAAGATACATCAATTGTTACAATCGGGGTTGGGGGTCGCATAGCTCAGAGAATAAAATGTCATTCTCTTTCTCTAAGAAGTAGGCTATCCTCGAGAGCTTTGAAACCAGATAAAGATATCCTGGGAGTATTTCTTCTCTGAAAAACATGTAGGCCTATCTGTTTTCAGTTGAACGGACCTTAAACATTCCTTTCATTTATTTCAGTTCTTCTAATTTAACGAAAAGTGGACCAGCGATATTTCCACCAACCTGCTGACGGGCGGTCTGAGTAGCGGGTACAATAAACCCAAGCCGGCCACAGCATCGGCTTGGAGGCGGGGGCCGAGCTGGCCTCCCCCCGGCCCTCTATCGCCTCCTCCCCGGCTCTCAGCTCCGGCCTTTCGGCCACAGTGTCCGGGTCCTGCTGGTCGGATTCTCCCGTCTCGTCCTGCTCCTCCTCGCCTCCCGCTCCGCGCTGCGGCGCATTTCCAGTTCTAGACTTCCTCCCTGTCTGCTCCTCTCTGCGGAGGATCACTGCAAGACTGCCCCCCTCCCGGACCAGAGTCCCGTCCTTCCTCTTTCGTCCGAAGTCCGGTCTTAAGATGTTGTCTATATAGAAGTTGGTGACCCTGTGGGCCTGCTGGTGGACAGGTGGCTGCAGGAGGGGCAGGATGGCCCGGTTGGACTCCTGGCCGGAGTCCTGTGGGCGCTGCGGGTCTCTGCGAGCCTTTCCTTCCATAGTGATGGATCCGGATCCCCCTCAGCCTCTGCCTCTGGGCCCTTAACACAAAGTAACTCCTATGTGCTGTGGTCCGCTTCACTTTATTTTCGATGATTAATGATACCCTTTTTTGACTGGAACACCAAATATTGGAGGAGCTGGACTAGTTCCTTTTTTTGGCACAATACTTTCTTTTGTTTTTGCTGACGCGCCGCTTAGAATAAGGACAGAATAAAGGCATGCTCAGCTTCTAATAAAAAGCCTCATGCCGGGACTTGATGCCATATTTTTATTTACTTCAAAATCGTAAAAGTGCTTGAAAAAAAAAGAATTTATTTGCAGTCCCTGCACACTCGTTTTGATGCTTCTAGCAGGACTAAAGTGCTCTGATAAAGACGCCGCTCAAATACTTCCACTACGGAATTTGGTTTTCATTTCTGATTGGCTGATGAGGTTGTGATGACGTTGTACTACGGCCCTCCTAGACACGTGCCTCGGACCAATAGAGCTGCAAAATTGGTGTCATGTGATCTTCCCGGAATTCCCTGGAGACGGAGAATAATAGTTTATGATGCATTCAGGTTACAGCGGAAATGTGTACCCTAATTATTTAAACATTTAAAGGATTTTAGTGTTATGGTTAATGTAGCTCCTAACGGAAAACAGTGTTCATGCCAGCTTTGAGTGATAGCCTATCAGCGTGTCTTATAAAATGGGTCCACACTGTCCCAGCAACACATCAGCTGCTGGGCGCCGGAGTTTGTGGGCTGGACATCATTGCATTGATAGCCTAAAATAACCAGTTGTTTACATTATTTAACCTTTTACATTCAGTTTTTTATCTTATTCTCTATTCAATGTAGCTTATTTCTGTATTGTGTCACTAGCACTATTGTCTAGCACTACTTCATTTCAAGTTTTCCTTGTTTATTTTGAAGTCTTTTGTTGCATGTTGCACTGCAGGTCGATCCTGGGACATCATATTTGCATTGCATGCTGCACCTTGGACAATGAAGGCTTTGCATCTTTAATTGAAATACAGCTAAATAATATTACATGGAGCTGAAGATGTGTAAAAGTCAAGTTGTAGTGAGAACCTCTGAATTAATTCCTCTCATATTTACAACAGGTTCATGCTCTGCCTGCACTCCATTATTGGACCTGTTATGTGGACCAATAACCAGCCTGCTTCCAGGAGTTTTCAAGTCCATCTGGAGATCATAGAACCTGGGCCAAAGCACCATGAGTTGGTTATGGTGGCGCAGTGTCCTGCAGACTGTGTGGGTTAGTCATTCTAGGGTGCTGATAACAGCCTGTTCATGCGGCTGGGGTATGTAGCCTTTAGGTCAACGTTCCTATAGAACTGTGAGATGGGGTATTTTCCTCTTCTAGTTCATTTAAAATATAACAACAAGCCTGCTCCAATCCATGTGTTTGTTTCTTAGGTCTATGCAGTAGTGGAAAGTATGATACTTTATACTTTTACTCAATTTATTTTGTAGGCAAACTATATTATTATATACTATTATAGGTTAAGCTACTATATAAAGTGAGACAAATAAATCCAACTAAAACCAAGTGCACCATTAAAGTGATGATAACAACCATTTTTTTTTTGGTGTTTAAATGGGCCATTCTCGATAAAGCATATTTTGATGCTAGTACCTTTACTTAAATACAATTATGAATGCAGGACTGTTCCTTGTAACTGAGTAGGCTATGTTTACACTGCAGTATAATTATATAAATTATATAATAATAAAGGATATAAAGTAAATAATCTGAAGACTTTCTATTCGTCGCGTGCAAGCAAGCATGGGACAAGAAATCATTTTGTCTTTGGATCAGGCGAACAGGATTTCGCTTCAGTTCGCTCACACCCGCGCGAAATGAGTCGCCCGCTCACACACACACTCACTCTCTTTTTAGGCTACATCGTTTAAAAAACACTTCTGTTTCACGTTCATATGCAGAAAAAAATATGAATGTATTAGTGGCGACTGAGGGTAATAAATGGTAAATAAAAACAATTATAATAATATGTATTATTCATATCGGACTCTGCTGCACGCTCGTGCAGGATTTCTTTCTGCATTAAACAACAGCTGCACATTCTGAGGACTGTAGCAACACTGAGCATGAGCTGATTGCATGCTGAATTCAAAATCGTAATCTGCAAAGTAGCCTAACCATTAACATAACGGGGTTGAAATGTTTTTTTTAAAGTTAAAAGTCTCAAAATGTAAATAGTCAAAATGACAATGCAGTTTAGAGTTGATGTTTTTAATGTTTTTATGAGGCCGAGAGAGTTCAGGAATAATGATCGCATGCATGAAGGAAGAATAATCATATAAGGAGAAATATGTCATAATTGATTCTGCCAAATGACCAATTACTAAAACCTCTGTTTCCTGACAGCGCGGTGTTGGGGGGCCTCACTCTGCCGTTATTCACTATCTTTGAAATACTAGCACTGCAGGTGAATTTAGATGAGGGTTCAAATCTAATTGCTAAAGAAAGCTTAATGATTTATTTTGTAACCCTAATTCAAAGCCGCTGGCGATGGGGACTTCAATATATTTCACTCAACCTTCCTTTAAAAAAAAAGAAAAGAACGTATAGCCTACATTTGTTCGATTAGTTGTAACAGATAACAACATGTGCTGTTGAAGAGCTCATTTAAAAAGTGTTCGTTCATTTGATTGAACCTTCAACAAAAAACATGTAACGCGGATGAAAATGTCACAAATGTGCCTAATTTCCAATTTAAACAAAGGACATACATCTATGACAAAAACGAGATTAAGAAAACCAAATCCATCAAAAACACTTAAGTAGTATTTTTCTTAATATTGCACTTCCAACTGTTACACAGAGAGTTCAGGGGTGACACAGTTATGAGTATTTATTACAAACATGCGGTACGCGTAAAACATGAGGGACACAACGCCGGCTATGTGCCGCTCTCCTGTTCGATTTCCGTTTTTACCAATGTAGGCTACTATTAGTACGCAATCTTAATAATAACGTATTGTAATTTGATGTATAAAATATTGCACATTATGTGGATTGGAAACGTAAGAGATATCAGGACCGTTATGGTTTATTGTATTCACTTAAAAGAGCGGTCTCTGTGCTAATCCTGACTGAAGGAGAATGATCTGAAAAATAGAAATCATTAATAATAGAGGAAGACGGAGAGCTGCGCTGCGTTCTGAGGTTCTCCTGGTTCTCTCAATTGTTTGTGACGGCAACCGGAGTGTTGCCTTCACTGTCCGCCCGCGCTGCGTATTACACAGCCGACTCTCTAATCTAAGTCATGCAGCCTGTTCACCTGAGGACTTTAAGAGATTTTTAGAAAGGTGTTGCACATAAGCTGATGTTAATGATTTCAGTTTATGATTTCAGCTTTAATAAGTGTTATACGTGTTATGCACTAGTTTTGATAATGCTATAAATACTGCATGATACATGATCCTTCCATTATTAAATTAATGGAAGGATCATGTAAGAGCATTAGAACCAGAAAGTAAAGGAACACGTGCTGCTTCTGTCTGATCCTGTGTCGCTGAGAGAATCCTTTCAAATCACACCAGATTTGAACTTTCAATCTGACCCACAGATCAGTATTTAGTAAAAACAGTTCATCTTTACTAACATATCAGATAATTTCTGAAGAACATAAGTGTGCAGGCAGAAAGATGGAGAGAAACGTCAGATGAGTGGAAGACTTTACCTTTTAACGCTACAGTAGTGAGAACACAGGTCCTGACCTGCAGAGACTCATCATCCTCACATGTCTCTAATAACAATTCCCATTTCCATATCACAGCCTGAATGTGCAGTGAG